GGAGTAGGGTCATGTTTAGGAGTCAATTGCAGCAAATAGACCTAGAAGGGTGATTTGTCGGCCAGCTAGATACAATAATATGTTGATTGCATATGATTTGGTTCCTTCTACATATAGAGAGGCAGAGTCTAGCTCTGATTCGATCAGGTGGAGGGAAGCTATGAAAGAGTAGATGCACTCTCTTTAGAAGAACGACACTTGGGAACTTGTAAAGCTACCAAAGGGAAAGAAGGTTATTGGATGCAAGTGGGTATATTCAAAGAAAGAGGGATCTTCTATTGGGGACATTCGATACAAAACTAGATTGGTTGCCAAGGGGTATGCCCAGCTTGAGGGCATTAATTACAACGAGGTATTCTCACCCGTTGTGAAGCATTCATCGATTAGGATTCTTTTAGCATTGGTGGCACAACTGGATTTGGATTTGGTCCAAATGGATGTTAAACAGCCTTTCTACATGGAGACTAAAATGAGGAGATTTATATGACATAACCTATGGGGTTCAAAGCTGCAGGAAAGGAGGATCTGGTGTGCAAGCTCAAGAAGTCTCTTTACGGATTGAAGCAATCGTCGTAACAATGGTACAAGAGATTCGATAGCTTTTTGATTGGCCAAGGATACACGAGGAGCTCATATGACCCATGTGTTTACATGCACAAGCTACAGAATGGTGAGTATATCTATTTGTTGTTATATGTTAATGATATGCTTATTGCTTCCAGGAATTCTTTGGCTCTTCGAAAGTTAAAAAAGGAGCTATCATCCGAGTATGAGATGAAGAATCTTAGAGAAGATAAGAAGATATTGGGTATGGAGATCGAAAGAGACAGGGTGAAGGGGTGATTAAAGCTTACACAGATGAGCTACTTGCAGAAGATGTTAAAGAAATTTAGCTTTGATGGAAACGCTAAGGAAGTGAGCACTCCATTAGCTCCCTACTTCAAGCTTTCGGCTAAGATGTCACATGTTTTAGTTGAGGACAGAGAGTACATGTTAAAGATTCCATATGCCAGTACGGTGGGTAGCTTGATGTATAAGATGGTATGTACGAGGCCAGATTTGTCACAGGCCGTAAGCATGGTTTCTAGGTACATGCACAACCCCGATAAGAATATTGGGAGACCAAGAAGTGGATTTTACAGTATATCAAAGGTACCGTAGATGTTGGTTTGATACTTCAGAAGAATGAGAAGATTGGACAGGATTGTATTGGCTATGTGGATTCTGATTATGCTGGGGATATTGACAAACGCTGATCTACTTTAGGATATGTATTTACATTAGCAGGAGTATCGGTGTGTTGGAGATGTACACTTTAGTCTACAATGGCTCTCTCTATTACGGAGGCAGAGTATATGGTGGTGAATGAAGCTGTGAAGGAGGCTTTGTGATTGCATGAATTGTTGGATGACTTGGGGAATGCACAGGAGACCATTCGGGTGTATTGTGATAGCATGTCAGTTATCTATTTAGCAAAGAACCAGGTTTATCAAGCACGTGAAAGCACCCTAGAAGGGGGGGGGGGTGTGTGAATAGGGTTTATGCTAATTTTATTAGATATTAATACCGATTAAAACTTATTAACAAATATATATCTTAGCAAGATAGATATTCGATTGAATTAAAGCAAGGATATATATGCAAATGGCAAAATAAACAAGAAACAATATAAACAAATAGTGGACACAAAGAGCAAATCAAACATAATAATATGATCATGGAGTTCGGTCCTTCCGATCTACGTCTTCACTCCTCACTCCCGGGGAGAACCCACTATCACGACACACCCAGTTTGAAAGCCGGAACTTCTCTACACACTCGGTTTTCTAGTTCACCGAAAACTCTACAAGACACTCACAATGTACATACACACACTACAAACTCAAGTGTTGGTCCTCACGTATCGCCTCCCTCAAGTGTTCGGCTTTACGACCTCTCACTAGGCTTTACTACCGACACCACTCCTCTTGGTACCGACTACGTCCTCACCACACACTCCTCTCGGTGTAAATATGTATTACAATGTGATACTCACAAATGAAGCTCAAATATAATAAATTATTCTCTAAAAATGAATGAGAACACAATGAAGCTCACTCTCATAATATCACTATCCCACAACCCAATATATGATGTATAAAATATTAAAAGCTCAAATAGGGGTGTGTGTGATAAAATGAGTAGAAATAAAATCTAACTCAAATAATGAACTAGCAATAATAAGAATGTGAAAATCGATAATAAATTGCTATATAAAAGAGTTAGAAAACTTCTCTATAAACACAATAAGAGGATGAAGAAGATTGAGGATGAATTTCTCAATTTGACAATGCAAGCTTCCTCTTTTGTAAACAAACACCACACTCAAACTTGAGAAGAAACAAACTATTAAACCCTTTAAAACTCTTCTTAAAACCCACTTGGATGATCCTCAGAAGTAAAACAATAAGGGGTATATATAGGATGAAAACCAAAGCCTAAAAACCAAAAAAGCCCAACAAAAGGATAAAAATACAAAAGGCTGGAAAAACTAGCCGTTACAGGCGTCGATCGACTGATGAGCTGAATCAGTCGACTGACGAGCTGAGCGTTACAGGCAGCTAAAAGCTTATCAGTCGACTGATGAATCTCGTCAGTCGACTGATGAATCTCGTCAGTCGACTGATAACCTCATCAATCGACTGGTCAGTCGAACGAATAAGAAAATAAAAACTTTTGAAGATTGTAGGCAGTTTCATCAGTCGACTGATCAATCGACTGATAACAGGTTTTCAGCATGAATTGAATAGTAAAAATGAAATTCAAAGCTCTTTTAAAAATAGCAAATAAATTCCAAAAAATATAAAACTTTGGAAAAAGTTTATAACCATGAATATGAACATGTTGGAAAAAGAATTTTTCAATTTTCTCTTGCCATTTGTGAAACCTCAGAAATATTCAAAAACACTAAAATACATGTGTTTATAAACATGTTAATTTTGACATTTAGCGCAAACCTCAGAAATATTCAAAAACACTAAAATACATGTGTTTATAAACATGTTAATTTTGACATTTAGCGCAAATCAAGTTTTGAAAACTTGTGAAATGAATACATGTGTTTATAAACATGTTAATTTTGACATTTAGCGCAAATCAAGTTTTGAAAACTTGTGAAATGTTTTTATGGACTTAATAAAAGATATTAATAATATTTGTATAGTCCAAAGTATATTAAAATATATTTTGCATAAAAACACTTATATTTGAGAAATTTCACAAATGAAATGTGTGTGTATATTTGAGCTTGTAGAATTTGCACACATTATATAATCCTATACTAAGTATACCGACAATGAATCATATGAAGCTTGAACTTGATTGGCTGACTTGATTTGCATAGGCTTCAATATCCATGTAGCTCGTTTTCCTATGTATACTAAACAACACAAAATAAAATACTAAAAACAATATTAGTCGTAAATTGTTTGTTAAATCATCATCAAAACAAGAAGGCCAACAGCACGCACGAAGCACATTGTTGTCAGATTCCACTTTGTTTGAGATGTCTTAGATGATAGAGATGTCATATTGGAGAAGATCCACACAAAAGATAACCCTGCAGATATGTTGACCAAAGTTGTCTCGGGTGTGAAATTAGTCATTGTTTGGAGTTATTGAATATTATTTGATGTTGAGGGCCTTTAGAGGCCATTTGGGTGAACTACGTGAGGCTTGATTCCTTGGGCAAGAGGATACATAGGCAGTCTTTCTGATGCAGCTGGTTGGATTAGCTAATATCGATGGGGGAGATTGTTTGAGCTCTCGTTTGGGTTCCCGACTTGTTGTGGATTGAGTCCATTATCGTGGATGTATTCCACTTCGACGCAACAAGTGGGACATTTGGTTATTTTTTTTGTGTCGGCTCGGTTTTGAGAAAACTTCGCTGAGGTGGAGATTTGTAGAAATGACTAACACAGCTTTGAAGATCAAGAAAATTGACTCAGGCAAGCTTTTGGACACTTGCTGGTTGACCGCGGAGCAAGTCCGGTTGACCGGAAACGTGCACAGATCGTAGGGGGATTCTGGAGTTGGAGACGGTCGACCGCCGCGGGCACCGCCGCGGTCGACCGCCCAACCTTGTAGTCGATTTATGTTTCTGTCGATTCCTAGGCAGTCGACCGCGACGAATTCGGCGTTCAACCGCCAGTCGGGTCTGAGTCTGGGTTATGTTTTCTGACCCATTTCGTTTTGTGTTGATATATAACCTTAATCACGATTATTAGAGTTAATTAATGACGACTTTGAGCAGCTTTTGAGAGAGAATTGTGCATCATTTGAGGGAGAATTTGTGAGAGATTTTGAGAGCTTTGTTTGAGGGTTTTTGATGAGATTGTAGACCCTATTTATATTCTCTTTATCTCTAATAGTAAAAACTCCCCCTCCTTGCCCCGTGGACGTAGGCAACTTGCCGAACCACGTAAAATTCGTTTGTCTTGCTGTGCTTTGTGTTTTGTTCGCTTGATTGTGATCTATCTCGTTCTTGTTTGTGCTGTTTCGTGTGTGTTTGGAGTTCCGCTGCGCACAACAATTGACCCTTTAATCTATTATTTCCCTAGATATTCAATTCTTCACCGCAAAGAAAATAAAAGTCTCCACCGAAACCGATAAAGCTGAAAATAAAAGAAATGTATTTTAAAGAAATCAAAAGCAAATAATCCGCATAAACAATTAATATGCAGACCTTACGACAGAAAACAAGCCGACCATTCTACTTGATCTTGAGGTCAATACCCACCTCTCAAGATTCCTCCACTTCTCAAAAATCATCAGCACCCAACTTCCAAACATCACAATGCTGACACGTGTCCTTTAAATTATTGATCCACGTTTGATATAGAGTGGGTGAAACAATTGGGTGCGTTACTATGTTGGGATTAAAGCGTATGGTAAGAAAAAGAGAAAAAAGAATAAATAATAACTTTCTTTTTCTTAGAAAAAAAATCTTAAGGCCCGAAAGAGAGAGAGAGAGAGAGGGGGGAAGAGAAGGGCGCCTCACGTGATTTCCCCGTGTTGATGTTTAATTTTCTCCTCCTCTCTTCATCACCTCCTTCTTCTCGATTAGACAGAGAGAGGAAGCGATTCAAGTTTTGTCATTTACATCAAAATATTTGAGGAAACAAGTAAGTTTTTAACTTCATCTCATGTGTTGATTCTTTGCTTTTAGTTACTTCAGTATTCAAAGTTATACGTCTTTGAAGTCCTTTATCGGCTGCCTGAAGTGTTTAATTATGGAAATCTGTTGATTAATTGATTTGGGTTCTTTTGTTTTCAGAAATATTTGGAGGAAATCACCGAAATAAATGCTTTTGGGTTGACCCTGTTGTTTTCTGGGGTCTTCTATTTATTGGGTATGAAGTAATACTAGATAATTTGATGCATGCAAATTGTGTTTGTTTGTGGTAATTACGGAAATTGTGGTTCAATTACAGGTTATTGTTTATGTTGATGAAGAGTTAAGGGAGCTCTTTTTAATAACTAGATGAGTTTGGTTTTGGATTGTAGAACTAATTATGGAGCTCTTAGAATGAATTTGATGAACTAGTGATGCTGTTATGTTAATTTCTTTTTACTGAATTTAAGTTGAAGTTGTGAACTGTGTAAGAATTTGATGAAGTCCACTTAAAATTTATGTTTATCTTGGATTGAACTTTTCCTTTATTTTTTCTTACTCTTTTCTTTTGAAATACTTGTCAAATAACATGCTTGTAGATTTAGATGAACATGGCTGAAACTTTCCTCCCATTTTGAGGGCCGATGAGTTTTGCAGATTCTGGGAGACTTCTCTTGGGATTAGCTTATAAATCTGTAGCTTAAGAAAGCATTGGATGGTCCTTTAGTAGTTTTTGACTTTAGACTTGAACTTCATGTTTCTTTCTTTCACACATGCATCTCATTATTTTGGAGAGTTGGTGTTTTCCATATTTGTATTTTTGCATCATGTTCAGACGGGTGGTACTTTTGATATTAGAGTAGTTTCATAATTTCATTATTTACCTTCTGCGTGTCCTTATCCGACTCATATCAAACAAATTGAGATGCATCTTAAAAATGGAGCACAGCAGTGATTGGCAAAGCAATAAGTCTGATGTATGGGATGAGCAATGGTTATGATTTATGGTTTAAATATATGGGTCATTTGTATCACCTGACAAATGTTTATGGGATATATTAGAAAGTGTACATGAACTTGTTGCATCATCTTCATGATATATATTTGGAAGTTCCGTCAGATTTATTTACTGCACATTATGGAGAAGTACATTTGAGGGCCACTTCTTCTTTAATGGATCTTCAATGGAGAAAATCTGCTTTATGTCACTGGACCCAGCAATTTGCCTATGTTTTACTTTTTGTCTTTATCCCCCCCCCCCCCCCCCCCCCCTGAAGGGAGTGAGGATTTCTTATTTATGAAAACATCTCGATATTGTGGAAACTGAAGAAAGTATGTTGATAGGTTGTTACATACAATGTACTTTGACTGCAACATTTTAACTACAATTTAATGGGTTATATATATTAGTTCTTGAAAATTTACTTTACTTTCCAAAGATCAGTTTCATGATAAATGGTAGACAGGAAATGGAGATGAATCTAAGTTAGCCCCACTTAATTATAGTGATACATTGTACATTTGTTCTACATCCTCCTTTCAAGTCGAAGAGTTTCTATCAAATCGGTACTCCCAACTTGATGTCTATAAAATAAAAACTTGTCACACATTTTGGATGACTTTATTATTACATTCTCTTTAAAAGTTTGACTCCTTTGTCTAGAGTCCCTGTCCTATTAAAATCATGTGTGTTAATAACTAACACCATTTGTTTGATCTGACTGCTGTGCTTATCCTGGACATATCACGAGTTGTTCTTGCATATTTGGACATGGAATATGATTGCTATGTGCTATTGTACAAGTACTTCGAAAAACAATGGCATTCCCTAAATCAATGGAGAATAATAAACCTTTCATAATATATTTTTAGTTGATATACATACATAAATGACAAGGCTTTAGAAATGGAGATTGTGGCCAATAATCTTTGAATTAAGTAGCTTATGATAATATAAAAAAGAAGACAATCCAAGATTCTTAGCAACTGCCAGTCTATTAATTGAGCTCAGTTCGTGGAGTGTGAATCACAATTGCTAGGAATTTCAGTGAATTCTAGACTCCAACTACTTATTTATTTTTAACCTTTAATGCACAAGCATTATAATGTATCGGAAATGATTTACAGAGAACTCACATGATCCTAAGGCTATGGTTATTGTGGTCTAGGGAGTTATAATGCTAAGGCGGTGAACTAAAGGCTAACATTGTATTTAGTGTGACCTGTCCATGATTCAGTTAAAACCAACTATGAGCTGGTGTAGCAACTCTTGTTTCATCTTGAAATGGAGGGGCTAAGTACAACAATAACAAAGTTTTGATCTTAAATTTTGGAGTCATCTAAATGACCTCTTTATTCTGTTCAACTCCATTGAAGGTTTTGTTCTTTTAAGGTAACTGTTACCATATCCTACTTAATTTTCTCAAGTCAAGTTCTTGTAAGGCTAGCTTTCATTTTAATTGCTTCCATTACTATAATCCTATCACATTTCCGAATTTGTGCATTTAGTAGCATTATTGCACATGACCAAAATTATTCCAATTTCTCTCACTTTGTCATCAATAAGAGTAACTTCCCCAATTGCAAGGAAATGGGCGCTCGTATGGGTACAGGACATGGCAAAATTGTAAATTGTAGGGTACGAGGACACAACAATATGCGCATGCGCGTGCACACTGCACACACATATATATGGAAATTAATAATTTACATGAGATCATTATTGTTTTCCAATTCATATATTAGGATTAAAATTCTTAACACATTTTAACTTTCTTTTGTTATGTTGATCATTATAAATTGGAGACTAGTCATTTTGAACTAGACACTCAATGATCCTTTAAAATCATAGCGTTTGGCAAGTGTTTAGAACTAAAACATATATCATATAATTGAGTACATGTCCAACCAAATGTATGCATATCTCCAAGGAGTGTCCATAAAATTTGGGTATGGGTGTGTCAGGTTTGGGCTTCATGGTAGAAGTACCTGGGCGACTTAGGAAACTTCTAAGTTTTCATGGATGCGCTCCTGTCTTATTGTATGTTTTTGTGTATTTTCATTCATCCATCATATTCACATTTTTGATACTTTTATTCATAAACCTTTGTCGATTATAGCTGTCTTATGGAATTTCCTTCAAATTCATGTGTATTCTCTTATCACATAAAGGAGAAGGCTAAGTGCATGATATTTGTCAAAGATACCATAATTTCCCTTAGTCCTCATGCCTCATTTTTGCCAACTCTAGTTGCATTTTTGGTTCTTGGCAAGAAATTAACTTCGTACACCAGTGAACTTGACAGTGTCCGAAGTATTTGAAGGATCTAACATGATAGCAGAAAACTCTTTGAGACATGAACTTTGACCTCATTCTTTAAGAGAATGTTGCGACATTACATATTTGTTATTGTTCTGAGAAACAATCCTTATGGAAATGAGGGGCAACGTTTGCATATACGGTCATATTCACTTAGCTTTATATCTTGTTTCTATATGATCTTTATTCAAGGAAATTTATTGTGATGAATATATGATAGCAGATGATAGGATGTTAGTGCACAATCTAAGACAGATTCAGATTTTTTTTGGAGGAAAATACGCCTTTGGTGAACATGACAACAACAACACCAACAATCACAACTATTGCGCCTTTAGTTCACATGAGAATCGAACCAACATAGGGGAGCGACACGGCTTTGCCATGTGACCTATTGGGCTGCCCTGGACAAATTCAATTTGAATCTAAAAAGAAATTCGTGAAAATTTGATCAGATTTAGCTCAATTGGGATTAGGTAAATTACTTATGATTTTACTTAATTCTATCCTTTCCTTTGGTTAGGATTTTATCGGATGTTATCTGCTTTTAGTTAGGATGTTATTTGATGTTATATCTTCTTTAGTGAGGATTTTTTTTATTTTCTTAGTTTTTCTATAAATAAGATTGTATTTTTCATTTGAGGAGGGAGGAGAGAAGAATGTGAAAATCATGTAAATTGCATCTAGTAGTAGGCATGTGAGGTGCCGGCATGTGTGATGCCTGGGTGTGAGGCCCACATTTGTATCTTTTCCTATTCTTAAATGAAGAGTGCAATTTTATTTGTATTTTCGTTTTATTTGATCCAAATAAGTTACTATCAAGAATCTCCATCTTGTCGTTCCCCATCACAATCTTTACAGAAAGGAAGGTTCTTCAAGAATTCTTCTTAAACCAATAAAATATCATGAAATATCTTTCAGAGATGATATTTGTTCTCTGAAGACTATTTAAACTATCAATATCTGCATTAAACGTTCCTGATTCAGTAATACAAGAAGTTGATGATAATCTAATAAAGGTTCTCCCCTATTTTGGTTTTGTTTTAACAGTTTTTGTTCATGTGTTAGCTATTTTGAACTTTTCTGTTTCACATTTAATCAGGGGTACAGAACATTTGACTCATTAAGTAAGACCAGGCTTCCATTTATAATAATTAATAAATTTGACACTAATGCCTTATAGTAGGTCATGCTCCAGTATGTATATTGTTTTGCTGTGCATTACCCTTATAATAGGTCATCCTCCAGTACTTGTCCAAGTCCTTACTACCTTGAGGGGCTTAACATTTCCCCTTTTCCTTTTTACCTTCCGTATTGCTTGATTCTGATTGACACTTGCATGATGTCTTTATTGACAATATATTATGGGTGCTGTATTGTACTGCAACATATTGGCACCAGTAAGACTAGAGGTTGCAAACATGTTTTACTTGGAAACTTTTCATGAGATATTCAGTGCAAATAAGATATGCAAGCGCTATGAGTTGAGTAGTCGACTTGAGATGTGTTTGATCTGCAACTTGTTATTCATAGACAATGCCCAAACATTTGGAAGTACTGCATACTTTGTGGTTAACATGGAAAGTAGGAGTAAGCTGTATTCCTTTATACGTGTTTGTGTGTCTATATATATATATATATTATATATATTATATTAATATATATATATAATATATATATATATATATATATATTAGATATATATATATATATATATATTATATTATATATATATATATATACATACATACATCATACATACATATAGCATACATACATACATTACATACATACATACATACATATTACATATAGACATATTACATATACATACATATAGCATACATACATACATCATATACATATGACATATAGCATAATACATTATACATTATACATATATAATAGCATATATATATTATATATATATATATATATATATATATGATATATATATATACATATATATATATATATATATACATATATATATATAGTATATATATATATATATATATATTATATATATATGTATATATATATATATATATATATATATATATATATATATATATATACTATAATGTATATATATACATATATGTATACATATATGTATATATAGTATATATATATAGACATATACACTATATACATATACATATATTATACATATACATATATCATATATATATATATATATTATATATAATATATATAACATATATATATATTCATATACAATATATATAATATATTATATAATATCATATATATATATATATAGTATAATATATATATATTATATATATATATATATATATAATATATATATATATATATAATTATATATATATATGCGCTGTTGGTTTCAACTTCTGGAAGAAAGTGACTAGTTGCTTGCTTAGACCTGCTATTTGGTTGGCTCGAAAAGATGAGCTAGTGCGCAGCACATGCTTCTTCAGATTGGATAGTATGGAGTTGGGGTTTGAAATATATGTATGCGAGCAGTGGCATATCTAGAATTTTGGGAAAGTGGTGTCACTATTAATTAATAGTTAAAAAGATTTACAATTGCTCGATGATTTTTTATATTTGAAAAAAAGTACCTAATTGTGTCATTAGTAGCACTATAAAAATCAAATACATATTTCTTAGGATATAATGTTAGTAAGCAATCATTGAGCCAATCATCATTCATTTTATTCCACAACTTACTCTCTATCAACTTCATTGCATAAGAAACTCCTTTGACTGTTCACCTAGCCACGTATAAAATCAGGACCATCTTCAAAACAAAATACACAAAATAGCTTCGAATGGTGAATTTTAAATATGTGGGGTCTTATTATTTCTTGACCAAAGTGGGGTCACATGACCCCACTTTGGTGTATATGGATCCACCGATGTATGCTAGGACGGTGCTTAGATTGACTGTGATAAGAACTGAACTTTGCTCTTCTGAATATATTTATTATTAAAAATAATAGATTGTTAATTGATAGATAAATCATGATTCCCTGCAGTATCTGTAATATTTTTTTCTTAATATTACCATCTATTTTCTACTGAGTGCCTATCTTCTTATAGGAATCTGCGGCAGGAAATTCTAATTGTATGATGGAGGAGTTTGAGGATGCTGAAGAAGAACTTCCACTTGAGGAATCCTCTCAAACGACTTCTGATCCTTTGCCAGATTCAGTTCCTAGTCACCCATCTCCTCCTACATCCAAAATAACTGATGATAAAAATAAGGATACACCATCATTAGGCAAGAAAATGTCTGTTTCTTCAGAGAATCTTAGTGAACAAGGGTCACCATCAGAATCTCACAACATTGCATCACCTCATACATCAGTGGATCAAGGCAATGCTGTCTCAAGTTCAGATACATCAGGGACCAAATCTGAGGATTCCACAGATTTGTCTTCTCAAAGTAACCAAGTTCCTCATTTATCACATGATAAGAGCTCACCAATTTTAACAGAGAATCCAAAAGACGCAGGAACTTTTTCATCAGAGGTTCTTGGCAATTTTTTGCACCATCCATCACTGGAAATATCTATTTCACAACATAATTTAAATGGTAGTCCTTCTATTCATTCAACATTAAATCAGGCCTCACCGAGTTTACCAGAGATTTCGAGAGAAACCAGAAATACCGCTGAAAATGCCACGGCTGTGTCATCAGAAGCTAATAGGTCTTCACTACCTCATTCATCATTGGACAAGAGCGCAGACGTTCCACCAGTGAGTTCACATGAGACAAATATTGTTGAATCAACGCTTTTGTCATCAGAAGTCGATAGTAGTCCACCAACTCAGCAACTTGATGGAGGGAGTTCTGCACAGTATGTTGAGGTTCAGAATAATAATGACTGCACTGTAATGGAGGACATTAAAAAGACTGCAAATGGACAATCCTTAAAGGTTAATAATCACCAAGTGGAGGTCAGAAATACTAAAATTGCTGGGATTTCTGGAGATGCAAAGCAAGCAAATGCATATAGAGGCCTTGTTGATACTACTGCACCTTTTGAATCTGTTAAAGAGGCTGTTTCCAGGTTTGGAGGTATTGTTGATTGGAAAGCTCATAGAGCCTTGGCCTTGGAGGTAATGGTGACTTACGTCATACTGACTATGCAATTATTTTTTATTGAGTGGTTTTTTATTATGTTTTCTGACTAAAATTTTGGAATATTTTTCATATAATTCTTTTAAGATAAGAATTTTCTATTTGCTGGAAGGAATAGGACCTAGGTCTATTCTTAAAGTTTCTTTTAATGGTAATAAGATGGGTGCTGATAAGTGATAACAACCTGACTTCCTGGTACTTACATGGCAACCAAATCTGTGTTCCTCTTATTCCCTGTTATCCACTCTGTAGTAACTTCTAGAGGCTTCTAATGTATGTTAACGCTAAGGTCAAGAACAAACAATTATTTTACTCTCAAATTTCTGATCAAGTGAAAGATGGATTTAATAGGTGCTGTTTCTTTGATGTCTGGAAATAATAATAGGCATACACATAATTTCATATATGGCGTGAAGTGATGTTATTCCCACCTAACATTTGTCAAGGTCAATGATATAATTATTTTACATCTAACTCGTGCGTAGTGGATGGTGTATTTGGTAGGTGTTTCATTTGGTATAACAAAAGATATATGTGCGTGTGTGTGTGTGGTGTGTGTGTGTGTGTATACATATACGTATATATATGTATATGTATATATTTGTGTGTGTGTTTGTGTGTGTGTATGTATGTATGTTAGTTAAGAAAATGTTATTTACAAATAACTTTCAGCAAATTATATGTATTGCGTGTGCGGAAGTTCACATGTGATGTGCTTTTGTACCTGGGTCTGTGGTTATAATTTACCTGTGCAATGAGGAATAATCTTTTTCCACATAACCTGGTAGCTTTTTATTTATGTTGAACAAAATTTGTAGAACCTGCTTTCTCCATTTTATTCTTGGTTAATTTAACAATAACTACGTTGAGTTCACCTATTTTTGGAGTTAGTTGTTTTACAATAGGCTATAAGGTATTATGAGTACTTTCTATTGTTAATACTACTAGACACAATTCCCTCTGGCTTACATCCAATCTTGGCATCTAGCCTCTAGCTCTTTCTATTCACTTATTGTTTTAATAGAATCTCAAGGATGCTCTTGCTTTGCAACTGTAGAGTAATTCTCTCTTTCCTCACATTGAAATATGAATCTGTGCTTAAATTTTGATATCTAAGATATTGGATTACAATGATAATGATATTATAATTGCAAGGTTTCTTACTTATTTACCTACATGCAGAGACGCAAACGAGTCCAAATTGAACTCGAGAAGGTGCGAGAAGAAATCCCAAGCTACAAGGAGCAATCAGAAGCTGCTGAAGTTGCCAAGACACAGGTACTAGAGGAGCTCAATAGTACCAAGATACTCATCGAAGAGCTCAAGTTGGACCTAGAGAAAGCTCAAACCGAAGAGGCTCAGGCTAAACAGGATTCAGAACTCGCTCAACTCCGAGCCAAAGAAATGGAGGAAGGGATCGCTGATGAAGCCAGTGTTGCTGCTAAACAACAGCTAGAGGTTGCCAAGGCAAGGCACGAAGCAGCCGTTGTTGAACTAAAGTCTGTGAAAAAAGAGCTTGAGGATCTACAAAAGGATTACGTTTCTCTGCTTAGTGAAAGGGATAATGCAACGAAGAAAGCTAGAGAAGCTGTTATAAGAAGTAAGGAGATTGAGAAGACAGTTGAAGACTTAACCCTCGAGCTCATTGCAACAAAGGAGTCTCTAGAATCTGCTCATGCTGCACATCTTGAAGCGGAGGAGCACCGAATTGGCGCAGCCTTGGCAAGAGAACAGGACTGTCTGAATTGGGAGAAAGAATTGAAGCAAGCAGAAGAGGAAGTCCAGAAACTCAATGAACAACTCTTGTCTGTAAAGAATCTCAAAGAGAAATTAGACACAGCATCTTCTTTGTTACTTAGCCTCAATTCTGAACTAGCTGCTTATATGGAATCTAAACTGAATCAAGAATCTGGAAGTGGTAGTATGGAGCTGGAGGAAGTAAAGGGAAATATCGAGAAGGCTAAAAATGAGGTGAATTTACTTAAAGCCGCAGAGTCATCGCTCAAAGCTGAGCTCGAAAGAGAGAAAGCAGGCCTTGCTGCAATGAGACAGAGAGAAGGAATGGCATCGATAGCAGTATCATCAGTCGAAGCTGAGATCGAAAGAACAAAAGAAGAAATACAACTAGCTTTAACAAAGGAGAAGGAAGCACGAGCAAAAATGGTGGAGCTTCCAAAGCTACTTCAAGAAGCTGCACAAGAAGCTGACATAGCTAAAACCGATGCTCAATCAGCACGTGACGATCTAAGAAAAGCCAAGGAAGAGTTGGAGCAAATCAAAACAACAGCAAGCACAACAGAAATAAGATTGAATGCAGCTCTCAAAGAGACTGAGGCAGCGAAAGCATCGGAGAGGCTGGCTCTTCAAGCGATAAAAGCTTTGCATGAGAGCGAGGGGGAGGAGTTGAGTGATGGAGTAACACTTCCATTGGAGGAGTATTACAGTCTTAGCAAGAGAGCTCATGAGGCCGAGGAGCTCGCAAATGAGAGGGTTACTGGTGCAATTTCACAAATTAATGTGGCAAAGGAGTCAGAGTTGAAAACTGTACAAAAGCTAGAGGAGGCTTATATGGAGATGAATCAGGAGAAGGAAGCTTTAAGAATTGCACTGGAGAGGGCTGAGAAAGCTAAAGAAGGGAAATTGGGTGTTGAGCAAGAACTAAGGAGGTGGAGAGCTGAGCATGAGCAGAGGAGGAGAGCTAGTAATGCTGCTCGAAATAGTAATTTGCCTCCGAAAAGCCCAGCAAGAAGTTTCGAGAGTGAACCAAAGAGTTTAATCGACGCTGATATCGTTCATCCTGGACCTAATGCAAAGGTGTACACAATGGAGGACAAGGGAGAAAGAGAAGTGGCAGAGGCGAAGGTGAGGAGGAAGAAGAAGTCGTTCTTTCCTCGGCTTGTGATGTTCTTGGCGAGGAAAAAATCAGAGACCTTGTGAAATGAGAATCATATTTTACTGTATATGTGTCACAAGTATTAATTTGTTTAATAAATCATGTAATGTAAGGGTGTGTAGTGTATTGGTATAGGCATCATGAGTAAGTGAAATTTTCCGAAAATAGGCATTTAGTATAGTGACAGACCGCTCCAAATCATCAGCACTTGCTGTCCTTTTTATAGTTGAAAATTTGTAATGTAATTTGAGCATGGAATAATTTGTGAAATTTGATCAGAGCTGTTCTTATCTTATAGCCAACAAAGAAGCAAACCGGTTGGACGCTCAAATGCAACTGTGACCTCTGGTTTCTTAGCTGAGGTATTAGTTGTTTCAATATGCATTTCTACAGCATAGCCTGTTGATTCTATCTCCTGATGAAAACTACTTTAGCAACTGACATTCATCGGTTAAGTTTCCATCTTCTTGGTTGGTTGCAATGACATTGAACTGAGTCCTAAAGAAACAAATCTACCCAGTGTCCACGATTAAGTTACTCATCGGCATTTTGTAGTACTGTGAATCTTGGGGATCTTCTGTCATTTTTTTTTAGCGATAGAGAGATAGTAAAAGAGTGTTTTATAGTGAGAAGTAAAAGGATGTTTCAAATCCCTGAAATTGCTCAGAAGTCCCTTAAATCCTTAGCTAATGTTTGTTTAACATAAAGGGGGTTTTGGGAGAAGTAGGGGTGGAAATGAACCAAATAATTAACAAATTGTTCGATAATTGTTCGAATAACTATTCGGTCATATTCGATTAGGTAGTTCATTTAGCATTAAACAAATATTTTTTAGTAATCGAGTTTACTAACAAATAGCATTTAACCAGATGTATATTCGATTCGTTTGTCTATTAAATATTCGTTTGAATTTTGATCAGAACTTATTATTTGTATTCTTGCACATATGATGTCATATTTTTAACCCACTTACCATTTCTACTTAATTTTTATATACTGATTTTAAGACTTAAATAATCTTAAATCTGTTTTCTAATTATATATATATATATAATTTTTATTTATGAATTCTAATACTATTTGAAAATCAAATTCTTTAGCAGAATAAATATACTTTGATATTTGATAAGTATGGAAAAATTCTGAAAATAGATCACATTTGCTAAATATTTAGCAAAATCGACCATTTTGCTAAATATTTAGCAAAATCGAACTCTTTTTGGCCTGTTGGCCAAAAAGAGGTCGATTTTCAAAAAAATGCCTTGAAAACATACGAGATTACTAGTCCCGTATGTTTACAACAAACTAATTACTGATTAGAAAATATACGGGACTAGTAGTCCCGTACATTTTGCAGACCCAACTTAGCCATTTCTACTGGACTACTAGTCCCGTAGAAAAGTCGAATAAATCACACTCTGTGCCCTAAATTTCGCTATTCCCCTTAAAATCTAACTTCTCTCTCCACCTTCACTCCCAAACCCATCTCAATCTCTTCACCTTCACTCCCAAACCCATCTCACTCCCTCCCAAACCCATTGAAATCTCTCCCAAACCCAATTTTCACACCCAAACCCAATCTTCATCTCTCCTAAACCCGATTTCCACACCCAAACCCAGTCTCCATCTCTCCCAAACAAATCTCCATCTCTCTCAAAACCAATCTCTCTCTCCCAAAGACAACTCACCTCCTCCTCCCTCAAATCTGACGCCGAACTTGATCTCCGACGCCAACGAGATCCGATTTCGTCAAGGTAACAATTTCATTTTTTTTTCATAAATTTCTCCAATTTCGTTTAGTTAATATGTATATTTAGAGGTATATCTAGAGGAAATAATGAATTATGATCATCAATTTGTAAAATATCTAATTTGTATACGTTAAATTTTAATTCTTCAGTTAAAATGGCGAATGGAATTCCGATTATTTGCTTATTCAATGGAAAATTGAGTGTTGGAATGAATAATTTGCCTATATATGATGGAGGCTCTAGGAAAATGTTCATGTTGTCTAGAAATTACAATTTCGATGGAATGATGGAGCAATATACATAGTTACCAGAATTAATCATGCCGAAAATGCTATTAAGGTCTTTTGTAATTGTCCAATAAATGAAAAAAGAACAATTACGGTAGAGATCACCACTGATGAAGTTTTGTAATTGTCCAATAAATGAAAAAAGAACAATTACGGTAGAGATCACCACTGATGAAGAATTGAATGACATGATACAACTTGCGGATAACAATTACGGTAGAGATCACCACTGATGAAGAATTGAATGACATGATACAACTTGCGGATAAACAAATCGCAATTAAGTTGTTCATTAAAAATATTCCAAAGTCTGTTGTTGTCGAAGTTTCGTATGCTCACGGAGAGTTCTCTCGCATGCTTGAAAGTCAAATCCCGTTATCTCAAAGTGCCTTGCACTTAAAAAATGACGCAGGTGCAACGTCAAGTGACATGTTTCACAACGCGTATGATGATGTTTCAGTTGATTTACCGGTTGGTGGTTCTATAAAAGAAGAGGACGAATATGTAGATACTAATGATGATAGTGAAGATGTTGAGTCCGAGGAGGAACGTCTTGATAGTATGCAGTTCGCAACTGGAGAGAACAATGATGATGCAAGTTGGATGAATGAATATTACGTGAACAACGATTATGTAGAGTCTGAAGAACCGTTACTCGAAGAGTTTAAAAATGACGAGTGGGTAAATAACTCACAAGCTGAGTTAGTTGAGCCTGGTCCTAATTTCGATCGACCTGAGGATATCACTTTCAAAAAAAGGAGATCTATTTGAGAATAAGGAAAGCTTAATTTTCGCTATACGTGAATGGACAATTAGGAACCGGATCAAATTCAAGCCGGTGAAATCCAACACAACTAGTTCCAGTTAGGATGGTGGTGCTAGATTGCCGTATGATCGGTATTCCTCAGCTTGGTATTCAACAAATCATTATCGGAATGCTTACAAAGAGAGTTTTCATCCTCTCGATGATACTCGTTATTGGCCTACCGCTTATACGGAATATTTATTACTACCTCAAGTCAAAAGACAAGCGGGACTACCTCGATCTGTGCGCATCAGAGGTACTATGGATCAAGGTCGGGAAGGAGGAGCATCACGAATCAGATGTGGAACATGTAGTCAATTAGGGCATAATAGGTCTCGTTGTCCATTAAGAACAAGTTTATAGCAATTAATTGGTAATATATTTTCTATTTACATTGTTAATTTTATTATTGTGGTCTTATACATTTGGTAGAAACTAATAAGGTAATCTTAACATGTTCGGGTATATACGCGATGCTCCCCGGGCCGGTTTCTGATGAAGTCCTCTATGATCAGCCACGCCATCGTTCAGAGAGTATATCATTTACAGAGGTACTATGGCTCTATGTTTTGAGTCATAAGTTTAGACTCACATTATTGATTCATTGTGATATTCTAATATTTGTTTTTATTTTTATGTAGAGAGGGCAAGAGATGGTTATGATTGATCATAGGCTTGGGCATATGCGTTGGTCACTTGATGATCCTCGCATCATTGCCCTAATATCTCAAGCAGGTTTTCTGATTTTGCTCACAATTGCGATGGATGAAGCTCGACTGGGCATTGCTTAATGCGTTAATGGATAGGTGGAGGTCGAGACTATAACACTTTTCATCTACGTGTTGGGGACGCAACTATTACTCTTTAGGATGTAGCAGTGATCCTAGGACTCTGCATTGATGGTCCTTGTGTCACGGGGACAGATAGGCATGTTTGACGGGATGTATGTGATAATTTGTTAGGACTATCACCGGAGTCCTTGCCTGGAGGGTATATTAGATTGAAATGGCTAAAAGAGAATTTTGCTAACCCATTACCACATGATGCATCAGAAGTCATGATCCAACAACATGCTAGAGCATATATTTTGCACATGATCGGGACGCTTCTTTTTCCCGATTCAAGTAAACATAAAGTGCATTTGAGGTAAGACGGGCCATAAATTATTATTACTTTTATACTTTGATAAGAAGATATTTTTTCTCACTATTTTTAGAAAATCTGACTAACGCAATTGATTTTTCAATAGGTGGTTACCACTTCTCGAAGACTTTGACGTGTGTGGGACATTATCCTGGGGTAGTGCTGTTTTAGCATATCTATATCGAGAAATGTCAAAGGTTGCTTTAATGCAAAATAAAGAGCTCAAAGGCTGTTTGACATTGTTACAAGTTTGGGCATGGGAGAGACTGGTTTTAAAACCGCGATTATGCGAGATCCAAGAGTTGGATGGACAGATTCCACTAGGCTGCATGTAAAATTCGTCAAATTTAATCTTGTTTGATATTTTATTTTTCATTTAAATTTTTGAACAAAAATCTATCGTATATAAAACTTACAGATGGAATATCACTAAAGCCTATAATGAGGTCCCGGCTAGATAGTTAGACTTTTACAGGGGGGAGCTCGACCGAATGAAAAATTTTCAAGTATGAATTTGAATTACAATCGTTTAAAGCTATCGATATATTTCAAACAACAGTTAATATATGGATTATTTTGCAGTTCGAGTGGCAGCCATACGCACCTTACATATATCGTCTACCGCTGATTTGTATGGAGGGATACGGCATATGGCGGTCCAGAGTTCCTCTCATTTGTTTCAAAATTATGGAGATGCACGTACCCAATCGCGTGTTTAGATAGTTTGGACTCACACAGCACGCTCCACAATTGGTCAAACAAATAGAGAGAAAGACGTCTAAATGTGGACATCAGATTAACTGGCAGCGCACGCATCAATCATACATAGCTCGGTGGAATGATCAGCATCAACTTATTGTCGATCCGCTTTATCCTCCGATGCAGGAAGTCGATTACATAAGATGGTATTGGGGGGTTACCCGACGTTGGATAATCACCCAAACTACACCTCCAATCGACGAAATAGAGATTCACAACCAATAATCTCGATATGTACCAAGAGGGTTAGATGAGAGACGATGGGTAAGTAAATTGCGACAATTATAATAGATTTTTCAATCTTTATGTTAGATTTTGGTTTCTTATATGAAACAATATTTTTATGTAATTGTAGATAGACGTATTGGACGATGTAGTGGGGATTACAAATGAGGGTATAACTACTACCATAGGAGATTCTGTGGACGTATCGATATTGCAGCGTATAGTGGCGAGAGTTCGTAGAGCTTTTCAACAAACTCATGAGGATTGACATGAAGGTCGTGAGCAGGTGGATCTTGAAGATACTACATATGTGCGCCAATGTAGACGTGATAGATCTTGCACGCATGACAATGAAGCTGGCCCGTCACAACAAGCTGGTCCGTCACAACAAGCTGGTCCGTCACAGCCCCACACACAACCGGAGAGCGAGCATATACAAGCTCAAGACGAAGGGGACCGCCGACGATCTCAGCCGGTGCGAAGGCCGACACAACGGGGGAGGGGTAGATTTTTTCTTTGTTAGTTTTTCCATGTAGATTATATATTGTCGTATGGATTTATTGATGCATTTGGATTTATTCTACTTAAGCTACATATTATCGAATGGTTAGACTTAATGCATTTGGAATTATTTTGTGCTGATGTGAATTTTGGTAGATTTTGGATGTGATGTTGTGATGATGTATTGTGTTGTGATAATGTGTATTTTTTAGATTTGTGTTATAATATTCTAATTTTATAACTTTTATCAATGTATACAATGTTAGATGATATATTGTGGCAAAAATTTTGGTAAAAATTTTGGTTGTATGCTCAGCTAGAGGGTCATGCATGTTTTGTGCATGTTTTGCCTTAGCCCAGCAAACATACGAGACTACTAGTCTCGTATGTTTGCTGGGCAGAGGCAAATTGTCTCTGTAAAATATACGGGACTAGTAGTCCCGTATATTTGCTGGCAGAGGCAAATTGGCTCTGTTGTTGTAAATTGTGCGAGACTACTAATCTCATATATTTTCTTGCAGAGGCAAATTGGCTTTGCAAAATGTACAGGACTAGTAGTCCCGTACGTTTTGGGGAGCCACAAAAAATATGCCAGAAAACATACAGGACTACTAGTCCCGTATATTTTCTAATCGGTAATTAGTGTGTTGAAAACATACGGGATTAGTAGTCCTGTATGTTTTCAAGGCACTTTTTTGAAAATCGACCTCTTTTTGGCCAACAGGCCAAAAAGAGGTCGATTTTGCTAAATATTTAGCAAAATGGTCGATTTTGCTAAATATTTAGCAAAAGTGGTCTATTTTCAGAATTTTTCCGATAAGTATTTGTGAATATTCATGAATATTTATCAAATACCAAGTATTCGAGTTCGAATTCGAAAAACTAGCTATATGAATATTAAAGTCTACATTTGAACTCGATAATTTTAAACAAATACAAATACGAACACCTTAGTATTCGACTCGATTCGATCGTTTACCACCCCTAGGGAGAAGCATGAACTGAGGGTATTTTGATCATTGAGGATCAAATTGTACAAACACCTAACATTTGAAGGACGGGTGAGCAATTTCAAGGATTTGAGGGACTAATAATTATTGAAGACTTGGGGACTAATATCTAAATAATCCTTTTTGTAAGGAGGAATTTTCAAAACAGACCGGTTTTGAAATTTATTCCCAAAAAGATATGTTTCCAACTTAATTTCAAAAACCGACCCAGTTGATTAAAACTGGGTCGGTTTTTGAAAAAAAAGTTCACAAACTTCACGGGAGTTGAACTCCCGTGAAGTGTTTTCTCATAACAAAACTTCACGGGAGTTGAACTCCCGTGAAGTTTATGAATTTTTTTTTAAAAAATCGACCCAGTTTCAGTCATCTGGGTTGATTTTTAAAATTAAGTTGGAAACATATCTGTTTTTGGGAATAAATTTCAAAACAGGTCTCTTTTGAAAATTTGTCCTTTTTGTAATTATCTTTCTGGGGATCTCGTTTTGTAATTATTAAATTAATTATGTTTACATAAAAAAAATTACCTTTTAATGCAGTGCTTTATCGCTTCTTTGTTGATAAATTTTGCTTGTAAATTGCCTGAATCAAGCGACCAAATTAATTTCTTTCTCTTTTCTCCAGCACGGGACGACATTTCTACGTCGCTGTCGACCGCCTCCAATTCAAAATGGTTTCTCTTTCTATCTTACTCTTTCACGACCGTGATTTTGACCACCATTAGGCCTTAACCCTTTTCATGAATTTTGAGATATGGGTTTGTCTAAAGATCGCATTTTGCTAAACGGGTCTTACTTCAATTGTCCATTCATTCCAGTTTTATTCCATTCACATGGTTATTTTTCTTGATATTTTGATTGTTTTCTGAACAATTTGTGGCTGCAGGAGACTTTGGTTGATCTTCTCGGTGTTGCTGCTCGGCGTTCACCAGTTCCGATCGTTCTCTGTTGCAGTTCTCGGGATGAGCTTGATGCTGTTTGCTCTGTTGTTTCTAATCTCACATTCATCTCTCTTTACCCACTGGTAATCTTAAGTTTATTTTTTTGGGTACCTGTGGCTTGATTTGTGCTGTTTCTTTTTCGCATAGATACTTTCCAATTTGAAAGATGGAATACTTGGAACTAAGGAAGGTAAAATCGAAGTACACACAATTCTCTGTATTGGTCTTCTGCATAGGAAAATGTTATCAGCAGTGAGAACTAATAGATACTCATCTCTGTTGTTACTTTGTATTGTTTAGTACGCTATTTAAACCCATAGGCGAGTCAAGGCAACAAGGTCTCATATAGCATGATGCAAGAGTCAATAGATGGTGACTCCCTCCATGAAGCAAGGAGATAAAAATTTCCAATTTCATAAAAGATTATAAATGATGTGCATCGTGTGCAGTGTGCATATGTCAACTTACTTTAATTCAACAAATAGATAAAATAATGGCACTAAAATTGAATCTTAAAAATGAAGCACTGAAGCGTGAACACATACCAAGAGAAAGATAAATAAACACATATTTAGTTAGTTTGTTTGGCACCATATGATAATCTAAGCAGTAGGCAGTAAAATGATAAATTTTGAGTTCAATTACTTATCAATAAAAGAATAAAAAGAAAAAAAGAAGAAAAAGAAACAAAAAAGGGAAAAATTAACCTTTTAACCTTTTTGGAGAAAAAGAAAAGGAAAATGCATGTCAAAATAAGAAGAAGAGATAGAAGAGAATCAGTACTTAGTCAAAAACACGGGTAAAAAAACAAAATCAACTTGTACATTTACCAAAATACCAAAAAAAAAAAAACGTATGAATTCCTTTAACAAAAAAAGAATCAAGGAGGTATGGGGAAAGGAGTTACTAGCTAACCAAATACGCCCCCCCCCCCCCCCCAAAAAAAAAAAACCCCCCCCCCCCCTCCCAAAAAAAAAAAAGTGAAAAGAAAAAAAGAATGAATTATATCTTTGTTGGATACAAAAAAGGCAATTTCAACATACGTAGAATCAGGAAGGAGTTAGTAGAGAATAACTACTTAAAATAAATATAAAATAAAAAGTACATCCCATTCTTGGTGGCCACTGTTAGTCTGGTGACACCCTCAGATGGTTGCTGGTGGTAGTCAGGTTAGCATCGGCGGTTGTGACGGACTACAAGGTCAGAAATGCACCTGAGGGGAATATGAAGAAGCCCAAAATAGACCCTGATTAACGACATAATAATCATAGCATCTGTTTTATCTTTTGTTTTTAATCTTATTGTACGCAATGATTAATCTTATAGAGAAAATAGAAGGATGAATAGTCCCCCCTCCAAAACCGAAAGTTGCGCACACACAAAATGAAAAAAGGTGGAAAATTTAATATGCAGGTAACCGCATACACACAAAATGACCTATTTAAACACCTAAAGCACTGCTTTGTAATATTCAGTTCGATGTCAGAAGGATCGAGTTTAAAGCAATCTCATGGTGACTAAGATTTGTTGGTAGAGATTATTTTGATTATTGTTAATACTTCTGTTATTTAATAGATGAAAAACCTTGAGTGTTCATTTCTTACGTTCCATTGTGATATAACATATTAGGTATTACATTTAACTAAATGACTTTCATCATTAATTGTGCGAACTTCATAATTTTCAGTTGGAGGCGGAATGGGGGGAAATTAAGTGCTGCTTCTTGAGACTTATGTGAAGGAAGTATGCCCATAAGATTGAAAGAATATAATACTAATGCAAGTTTACAACTTTTTGTAGTTTAGGAGATTTTGTCAGATGACTTTTAGTGAAATCTCTCCGTCTATATTGCTTTTTTATTGGTTGGTTTTTTGACAGTCTTTCGTTGTTGGATGCTATAAAAATTATTAGTAAGGAGTATGGAGTTGAGAAGGGATCATAAAGATAGTAAAGATTTCATATTATAAAACCTGTAAGGATAGCAAAGCATTCATTATTGAGAACAGATCATACAGAACAAAAGATACAGCTTCTATAGCCTTCATGCTCTATTGTGTAAGATCATACCTCCTGAAATTGGTATATGGAAATGGCAGTGCTCCAATCTGAGTGAGTAGAAATATCTGTGGTATGATGACTGTTCCTCAAAGGTTTTGATTGTTAGTGCTTCAATTGTTGTCCTAATGTAAGAGAAGTGGTGTATTGTGTTTGCATGCTATGAGTATTTGGCTTCTTATACTTAATTGCTATGGAAAGCCTAGATATTTAGGCCGTAGGTTTGTATGTTGGGTTTGAGCAGCAACCTTTTTGAGGCCTTCAACCATTTTTAGGGAACTAAAATGCTGTTTTTTGTTATTTACCCACAAATCAAGGAAGAAAAGTACCTTAAGTTAGCTTATCCTTTGTTAGTTTCAATTATCTTCGGTTTCGATCTTTCAGGCTATGTTTTTTATTCTTCAATTACAGCTTATTGTTGTACTTCACAAGTGCAGTACAGTGATCTGGCTGAAGTTGATCGTGCATCAATTCTCGAAAAGTTTCGTCAATCGACTTCAGAGTGGAGTCAGAACATCAATGTTCTTCCTGGGGATTGCACTGAATCTGGAAATGGAGACCACAATTGCGCTATGATAGTTGTAACAGATGCCTGTTTGCCTTCTGTTGTTCCTGGAGAAGCACCTGTTTCTGCTCACATTCTAATAAACTATGAGCTTCCAACAAAGAAGGTATTGTTGTATAATCCTAACTCATAATCTTTATCTTGCTTTTAGCTGTCAGTATTTCTCATAACATTAAGCAAATGTGGGAAGATAATGGTAATGGGATGCAACTGAAATTTCCACTAGGCCTTAATCACACTTGATTCTGTTTATATTTCCTTTTTAGTCTTTTTGTTGATTGCTTTTTTTCCTAGGGTTAGACAAGAAATTAGGCATTGTTAAGTTCATGGATATGGTTAAGTAATATATATAAATAATATCCGGCAGAAGTGGCAAAGGATGAAGGTATTACTCTGAAACTTTTTCTAATAGATAATATCCTATAAGCTCTAACCTTTGGTATGGATAAAATGCTCATGTCCTCCAGGATTTTATGGTGATTTCAAAAGGGACATTGAAGACCCAAAAACAAAAACTGCATGTTTGAAGAATTAGATTTGTTTCTATAATTGGAGAAGCAAAGTGCATCTAGTTATGTTCTAAATAGATACACTTAGATTAAAGAAATGAAGAGCTATAGTACAAAAGCTCCTGACCTACTTTAGAAACTTGAAGTTTAACTTTGGCTACTTTAACATGCTTTTTGGTGTGCTAAAGTAGGATTAGGTCTGGGTTGGATCCTATATGCATTTATTTTGAAGGAGATTTCACTTCTTTTAGTGAGATCATGGGGTTTTTTTGGCCCCTTCTGACATCTGAATATCTTGAAGGAAACATATTTGAGGCGCATATCAACCTCTTTGGCCCCAGGTATTTTTTCGATCTTCTACGTTCATTTCCCTATATGTGCTCATTTCTTCTACATAAGAATGGGAAAAATGGGAGGATAGTAATTGTGGTGGATTGCAGATGGAATTGTCATCAACATGGTTGTTGGAGGCGAAGTGGTAACCCTCAAAGGAATCGAGGAGAGTAGTGGCATTGTCATTGCTGAGATGCCCATCAATGTGAGTTCTGTAAACAATTCTCTTACTCTTGTTTCTTTCATCAAAAGAATGTTACTGAGTTTTTCTTTCTACAGATTTCAGAGATACTATAAAGAAACTGTTCACCTATTAATTGAAATGTGGAGATGCTTAAAAGGCCTTGTTTATACTAATTCAATGAGCTCAACGAGTATCGTGGGTTTGCATGACGAGCTACTTTGTCAAACTTATTCTATTTATGAGGTATTCATGCTGGCATAGTCTTTCGGTTTATTAAGTTCAGCCCCTAGAAATGTTTTGCGTGTGATACCTTGATTCTGGAAAATCTATAAAAAAACCATTGTTTTTGTGCAGTTGAGGTGTAAATTCAATTAATTGTTTTCTGTATTCAACTAAGATCATGGTCAAAGTACAGAAGGTAGTATGGCTGATGTCTCTTAGAGGTAATATATCTGATTAGTAATATTCTATTATAGTGGGCCAGTCTAGCATTCTAGGATAAGCTCTGGCTGGGCTTCTAAATGATGAGAGTCCATGTCCTACAATATTGGAGCATGTTTCAGTTAGACTTGAATGTACATTGTGTGCAGTAGTTGTGGATCATAGCCCCCTTATAAACTTAGACCATACTTCTTTATCTTCAGGGCCTTGCTCTTAGTGTAGAGAATTATGGAACATTGCAGTTTATCTCCCCTAGTTGCATAATGCACATCTTACAGAGAAGTTGCTCTCCCCAATCCTCTGGAAGTTAGATTCTAGAAATATGAAATTTAGGGTTTTTTTGTGGAATATGAATTGTTGTTTTCATGTTTGAACTGCTTTCAATAATTTGATGAATATAGTTCGACAATATTTATGGTGACGTAAATGGAAACGAGTATTAAAAAAAAATCGCTTCCTCCTCTTTTGAAAACAATTTTCTTCTACACCAAGATATTTAAACAAAAATTTGATGAATTCATAAGTTACTACGACATCTGACGCTGGCCATGATTGACTTAGCGACTTGTTTTATCTCGGTACTAATTTAACTCACTGTAGTCCAAGGATACAATAATCCAATGGACTATAGCGAGTTAAATTTTTAATTAATCTGCTTGGTTCAATTTATTATTAACACATTTAATGCCTATATGTCATATTTGGAAACTTGTCATTATAAGGAGCTATAGCATCAGAACACAACATTAAATGACCACAATGCCCTTCTAGAATAAAATACTAGCCAAGTATTTTCAAGGGCCTATTTGTAGTTTTTAGATTTTGAGTGTTATTTGCATTTCATTTTCAGGAAGCTATTTGTTATTTTAAAATTTTAGGGTTTTGTTTGTAATTTTTAGATTTCTTTTCAGGAGTCATTTTTTATTTTTGAATTTTAAGGGGCTTTTCTATTTTTTAAGGCGCTATTTGCATTTTTAGTGGGTTGTTTGTAATTTTTAGATTTTAGAGTGTTTTTTGTAATTTTTATTGTTGGGACTCTTTTTGTACTTTTCAATTTTTTCATTTTTTCTTTTCCTGTTTGTGCCCCCAAAAAAAAAAAATTTATATATGGAGTTTTTAAATTGGAGGGTATTAGCAAATATCTAGATTTAGGAGGGTTGATATGCAAATACGTATGACTTGATAGACATATCCAACTACCGAAGTCAATGAGCATAAGAATTAGAGATGTAAGAGGCTTGGTAAATTTTAGAAACTTGAGAGGCAATGACGTCATTTTCGGTCTAATCCAAAGTGGGAAATAGTCCTAGGACTATAAATAACACTCCCCCTCCCCCTCTCCCCCATTATTTTAGTCTTTAGGTCTAAGGACTATTTCCTTTTATTAATGGACTAAATAGTCCTATCTAATTCCTCCTAAAATTTTAAACCAAACACGTTGCTATTTTATTAAAAGATAAAAGGTTATTAACTCAAAATAATACTCAATCCAAACATGGCCTGTGTAACTTATCTTCCTTTTGTGTCTTTAAAGGATTGTATTAGTTTTTGAATTAATTGTGCTCTTGCTGCAGTACATAACTATTTCTTCTTTGTTCTTGTTAACTGTTGTCAATTTCTTTCTTACCAAATTCAAAGTAACACCCATATTTTATTGGATCCAGATTCTCTCTACCATTTAAAAAAAAAGTACTGGAGAGACTACCACCTCATTAATACCTGTTGATTTATTTAGTTGGTGGTTTCTTTGTGTGTAAATTAGAAATGTGTACAAGTGGGTTGTTATTTATTTTTTTTTTTTTTTGGGGGGGGGGGGGGGTGGGTTTGTGATTTTATTTTCTTGTATGCACTATTATAAATAACGGTAAATAGCGACACTAATAGCGTTAGCAGTTCCTTCCCGTTGCGCTATCGCCCAATAACGGTGACATATTGCAGAATATGTGCTTTTTGCTTGCTAAAAGCGGCTAAAAAAACCCCAACCCAACCCTGACCCACGCACCCCAAAAAAAAAAGGCCTTTGCCAATTTGCCGGATATTTATAGTCCAATACTACTTTACCCATACATCTACGCCGTTTAAGATACCAGACGATTTTCTTCTTCTGAAAAAATATCACACAAGACGGTTCTGCTACGGGCAAGCTGATTTATTGTACGAGCCATGACCGGACACACAATGAGCAAGAGGCTTAATATTGGAACAAGCTTTGACCTGATACACTTGATCGTTATATTACTCGGCAAAATGAATCTGGACATTTATTACAGAAGCCCACCAGAGTACGTACTCATCACTTTATTATTGCTTTTTCTACAATGAATCTATGCCGAAATAGCGACCAGGTGAACGATTGGACGTCTAATATCAGCATGACAAATCTGTATATTCTGTTGCTGAGTACGATTACTTCGCCGTGTTACTGCCGAGCACATCCGACCTGGGTCACACGCTTTGGCTGTAAAAGTTAACATGTGAATCATTTTCATTTTTGGAAAGAACTTGCTTCTTACGTTTCTTCGATGAGAACATATAGTCTCTTTCAACAGTCTTCCTCCTATGTATTTTATAATATATATATATATGTTCCTTTTATGATCCCTCCCTGGAGTAACGCCTCCTTTGTTCCTCCCTCCCTCCCCCTCTCTCTCTCTCTGTGATGTTATATCTATCTCCCAACTATTCAATAAGTTTCTCTGCATCTACTGTTGGACATGGGTTCTTGCTTCGACGCTGGAGAGGACACCGTATTCATGGAAATAGAGAAGCAGCTTCTGCTTCTTATCTCAGATGAGGGTGAAGACGAAGGGGAAGTACTATGCGCTCCGTCGCAGGCCTCTGTCGAAAGGGGTATGTACCCGAAACCGACCCCCCAGCTTGCTGACAGAGGGTGTCGGAATCATTATCCGAACCAGTCGGCGACGCTTCCTTCTTCTATGCAGTCTTCTACAAGACAGACGAAGGTAATTGGAAGAGTCTTCATCGCTCACTTACCGCCTGCCCGCCGGTAAAGGCGGCAGCACTCAGAAACTGGCGACGCAGGAGCTGAGGCGGACACAGTCGAAAGCACCCCCCGCCCACCCAATTTGAGGCCCGTACACCTTGAAGAATAATTGGATTTACGATGTGGGCTATTACGAATCGATGGCAGTAAACGGAGATCCGTGTGGAATTTCGTGACTGGGATTTTCTAGGCGTTGAAGACGGTATATATATTTTGAGCGTTTCCGAGTAAAATTAGCGTTTTGTCGCGAGATGGTCGCAGTCTGTTCTGTTAGACGTTGAGAATGCATTACTTAAATAACTAGTCTTTGCCACAGATACACTCGTAGCTAGTGCGCTCTAGATGCACGAATTTAGCTTCTATTTTTTTTTTAGACTTTTCCGCATGAACGATTGTTGCAAATTAGAGAATTAGTACCTTTGATGACTCTTTGCCCAGCTCAGCAAGTGTATATGAATTGAGAAAGCATCAAGCTTGCGGATATTTTCAGGATACTGTCTACAGAACATGTGGTGTGCCAACAGAAGAGCTATTGGACAGTACAAAGCAGAATAGACTTAGGGATTACCGCAAAGATTTATGGATTCAGATCCTCTCCACTATCTAAAAAGTAGTGGAGAGACCACTACATAATCACAACCATTAATTATCTAGTTGATGGTTGTGATTTTTTCTTTGAGTGCAAATTAGAAATGAGTGTAATACACGGGGCTATAGTGAGTGTTAGATTTAGATTATATCATAACCGCCTACTAAGTAATCAACAATTAAGATTAAAAGTAATGATCTCTCTACTAATTTTTTTTAGTGAAGAGGATCCGAGATTTATTTAGTAGCCCTCTTGTTCCTGTTGGCACGCCATGAGCAAACATGCGTATTGGATAGTTTCTCGAAGGCTAGCGGCTAGTGTGACATTCAAATTGGAGAATCTCTAACAACATTTTTTTTTTAAAAAATCATACAAAATCAAGAATATAATGACTACGGGATCTTCACATATTTTAATCTCTTGGGTTTTGTGTTTTGGGGGCTCAGAGAACAAAATCTTTATTTTAGGACGCAAAACACCCGTTAACAAAGTCTTTGGGGGGGATCATATTTTCTTGGGTTTTGGGGGCTAGAAGCATTTTCCCCTAATGTTAATGACTATTTGCCCAGCTCAGCAAGTATGAAGAGAAAGCATCAAGCTTGCGGATATTTTCAGGATACTGTCTACAGAACACGTGGTGTGCCAACAGAAGAGCTATTGGACAGTACAAAGCATAATAGACTTAGGGATTACCACGGAGATTTATGGATTCAGATCCTCTCCACTATCTAAAAAGTAGTGGAGAGACCACTACATAATCACAACCATTAATTATCTAGTTGATGGTTGTGATTTTTTCTTTGAGTGCAAATTAGAAATGAGTGTAATACACAGAGCTATAGTGAGTGTTAGATTTAGATTATATCATAACCGCCTACTAAGTAATCAACAATTAAGATTAAAAGTAATGATCTCTCTACTATTTTTTTTAGTGAAGAGGATCCGAGATTTATTTAGTAGCCCTCTTGTTCCTGTTGGCACGCCATGAGCAAACATGCGTATTAGATAGTTTCTCGAAGGCTGGCGGCTAGTGTGACATTCAAATTGGAGAATCTCTAACAACCTTTTTAAAAAAAAATCATACAAAATCAAGAATATAATGACTACGGGATCTTCACATATTTTAATCTCTTGGGTTTTGTGTTTTGGGGGCTCAGAGAACAAAATCTTTATTTTGGGGGGCAAAACACCCGTTGACAAAGTCTTTGGCAGAATAGACTTAGGGATTACCGCGGAGATTTATGGATTCAGATCCTCTCCACTATCTAAAAAGTAGTGGAGAGACCACTACATAACACAACCATTAATTATCTAGTTGATGGTTGTGATTTTTTCTTTGAGTGCAAATTAGAAATGAGTGTAATACAAGGGGCTATAGTGAGTGTTAGATTTAGATTATATCATAACCGTCTACTAAGTAATCAACAATTAAGATTAAAAGTAATGATCTCTCTACTAATTTTTTTTAGTGAAGAGGATCCGAGATTTATTTAGTAGCCCTCCTGTTCCTGTTGGCACGTCATGAGCAAAGGTGCGTATTGGATAGTTTCTCGAAAGCTGGCGGCTAGTGTGACATTCAAATTGGAGAATCTCTAACAACCTTTTTTTAAAAAAAAATCATACAAAATCAAGAATATAATGACTACGGGATCTTCACATATTTTAATCTCTTAAAAAATCATACAAAATCAAGAATATAATGACTACGGGATCTTCACATATTTTAATCTCTTGGGTTTTGTGTTTTGGGGGCTCAGAGAACAAAATCTTTATTTTAGGACGCAAAACACCCGTTAACAAAGTCTTTGGGGGGGATCATATTTTCTTGGGTTTTGGGGGCTAGAAGCATTTTCCCCTAATGTTAATGACTATTTGCCCAGCTCAGCAAGTATGAAGAGAAAGCATCAAGCTTGCGGATATTTTCAGGATACTGTCTACAGAACACGTGGTGTGCCAACAGAAGAGCTATTGGACAGTACAAAGCAATATTTTCAGGATACTGTCTACAGAACACGTGGTGTGCCAACAGAAGAGCTATTGGACAGTACAAAGCAGAATAGACTTAGGGATTACCGCGGAGATTTATGGATTCAGATCCTCTCCACTATCTAAAAAGTAGTGTAGAGACCACTACATAATCATAACCATTAATTATCTAGTTGATGGTTGTGATTTTTTCTTGGAGTGCAAATTAGAAATGAGTGTAATACAAGCGGCTATAGTGAGTGTTAGATTTAGATTATATCATAACCGCCTACTAAGTAATCAACAATTAAAATTAAAAGTAATGATCTCTCTACTAATTTTTTTTAGTGAAGAGGATCCGAGATTTATTTAGTAGCCCTCCTGTTCCTATTGGCACGCCATGAGCAAACGTGCGTATTGGATAGTTTCTCGAAGGCTGGCGGCTAGTGTGACATTCAAATTGGAGAATCTCTAACAACCTTTTTAAAAAAAAAAAATCATACAAAATCAAGAATATAATGACTACGGGATCTTCTTCGGTCACACTCCTGTACTAGTTTGCGTGCTGATTAGATTTCCTTTGAAGTGGACTTTCCCTCGTCACTTTGTGTGTAATTCAAGCTACACAAGCTCATTTGATCAGAAGAGGAACACTGGGGACACCATTGAAATCAAGTAGTTAAGAAATCAATCATCTAAAAGCATATTTGTTGCGCCTAATCTATGACCGCAGTATCATCAGCGGGACCAAAACACTGACATCTCTGGCTCCCAATAACTTATACTCCATGAAAATACGTGCTAAAATTATAAAGTACAGTAAAAAGAATGGAGGTCTCTACCGTAGCAAAAACAAACAAAAAACTCTATCGACAATCAAAGAACAAATTAAGTAACAACTGAACTACTGTAAATCGACCTTGATCCTCCAATGCCCATCCCTAAACCGTAATCTCTCGGCCCTCTTCCTCTCGCTCCTCAACTGCTTCTTCCTCTCCTCGGTCAGCTCACAAAACCCTCTAAGCTTCCCGTCCATCTCATCGTGCAGCTTCCACCATCTCCTATGGGCAACGTCACTTGCATAAATCATTTGATCCTCGACGTTCCAGTTGCAGTCGTACTCTCTGTAACACAGCCAAGGCTTCAACCCGAGGTAATGGATCGAATACAGCTTCGGCGGGTCCGACCCGAACATGGCGTTCTTCTTCACGGCCTCCGCCGTCTTGTTCGACCAGAAGTTCTTCAGGAAGTTCACCCTCCTCGGCAACCGGTGCCACCACACGAATATCTCGTTCAGGTACCCCTGGTCGCCTCCGTTGTACGAAACGATCTCCTTCCTGCGCTTCATCAGGGCCTTGAACGTGCAGGCCGAGGGCTCGATGACCATGACGCCCGAGTTGAAGATGACGCCGTCGTTGCCGACGGCGGAGATCTGCGGGAAGCGGAAGAGGAGGTCGAGGTTGCGGAGGACGGACGATGTCGGAGTCGATGAAGATGATTTTGCGGTAGTAGGTGAGCTGCCAGAGCGGAACTTGCTGAGGTTGTACTCGTTGTAGGAGTGTCTCTCGGCGTGGGGGTTGCGGATGCGGGTGATGAGCTGAGTTTCCAGCCGGAGGAGGAGAGGGCGTCGAGCTTCGGTTGGGGATGGAGGAGTCGTGGAGGAGGACGAGGTCGGCGGTGGTGTTCGTGAGGCGGAGGCTCTGGGCGAGGGGCGATGGCGCCGCACACGTAGGCGTCCGAGGAGTGGAGACGGTGGCGTAGGCCTCCCGGTGGGGTTAGGGGAGGGGGGAGGGGGAGGTTGGTGATGTTGTAACTCTCGTTGGTGTCTGTTTGTGTTGCATTAAATTGTTAGGTAGTTTTTCAAGAATTTTATCGTAACCAAATTGTGAAGTACAAAAAACTAGATGTCAAATTGGTTTATCAGATATATACTATATATTGGGAGGAAAACACTTTCAAAATAAGAATTTGGTTTGCAAACAGAGCGTTGAAAGACGAGACCATGACATATACTGCAGGGCGATTTTCGTGGGAGCTCCTATGGTCTGTTTGGGAGGTCACCAGAAGAAGAGAAGGAAAGGAAAGAGAATTTTTACTTTATTTTTGTTTGGGAGTTTTCATGAAAATCTTGAAAAATCGGTACCCCACAATTCGGGCGGTAAAGGAGGGGAAGATCCTTTTTCTACTTTTCCTTCCCTTCCTCTATGAACTCTCAAACAGACTACTAGAGTTTGGTCGAATTTGAGATAACTTTAACCCCTTGAGTTCTACCAGATAACCCTCCTAGCTAAAACTACTATCGGGTTTTCTATAGAGTGCCCATGGCCGGGCACTTTATAAGAGAGGAGAGAGATAGAGAGAAATGAATGAGGAGGGGATCCCTCCCAATCCCCCCCCCTCCCCTCCCCTCCCCTCCCCTCATTCATTTCTCTCTATCTCCCTCATCTCTTATAGAGTGCCCATGAGCACTCTATAAAAAAACCGAACTACTATATCTGACAGCACATGCATGAGCAAATCATGTGCATCCAATTGACTAAAATGGTCAACGCTAGAAAAAACTCCATTATGTTTTTTTTAATAAATTTAAGGGTACATTTCATATCTTCTGAACTTGCCGATTTAGGGTTAAATTTAATTAGAGTAATTAAATTTAGACTTACAATCTCAATTCGAAAAAGTTATTTTGGCCGTTTTACCATTTCATCAAACAAGGTTTTATTTGAAAATTGAAAACTTTTTTTTTTTGGTTTTTTCTGGTTCAGAAACAACCCAGACTTAAGAGGTGTTAGCTAAGGACTTTTTATGAAATTTATGCCCTCAGGCAACACGTTGCGGATATCTTTTAGCAAACTCCCAATCAAGTAAAATGCGTTTGTTAGGCAAATAGTTACTCAAAGAGTAATAATTAAAAAATAGCGAACCTAATAAAAGTACATGAACTTTAGTAACGATATATCTTATTAATCATAAAATAATCGTGCTTAATTTTAATTAAGGATTCCTAGCATTTTCAGACAAAATTATTCGCTAATAGTTGGCACCAAACGCTACTGGCCTCTTCCTGTATTAGCATCATGCATGTGCGCCCTCAAAGTACAACGCACATTAATTTGGTAGTCTCTCATTGTCATAGCATCTATTAAAACAACATTTCAACTAAACTCGTCTAAAGAATAATTAGTATAAAACGAAGGCTAACTAATTCTTGTATTATTATTATTATTATAAACATAATAGTTGCATAAAAAAAACGAAAGTCAAATAATAAAGTTGTTGTTATAGCATGATTACATGAATAAGGTGCTAGTTATTTAGAGGACAATGACATATTTTATTAGAAGCTCTCGTAGCCTTTGTAAACCTAATCACTTGGAGGTCAAGGACTCTAATTAGTTGTATGCATGTTCGCGATCTCATGGATGCTACTCGTAAAAAGATTAGGATTTTAATTAACTTATTAAAGTAGAAAATAGCTTACAGTGTCAACAATTTTTTTTCGCCGATTACATGTTAGATGATGATTGTAAAAATTTAAATTGTGATTGGGATGCTGCATTCTTTGTTATATTGGGAAGTTTCAAAGCATATCAGACGCTTGTGCGCGCGGCTACATAATTGGTTTTGTAGGGTAGCTTTTTTATGTGCTTAATTGTACTCAAACATTGTATTGAACACTGGTACACTTCAAGCATTTCTGAAAAAAAAAGAAAAATGTTTCTTATGGGAATGGAAAGTGATATGGTCCTTTGATGATAAAAGTAGACCAGTCAATTATCTCATCTAACATCTTATGACCTTTCACCTAAAATCTCATTATCATCTTCATGTGTGCCAATTTCCCCTCTCGCTTTTGGTTCTTTTTCAATTGAAAACGTTTATTTTATTTTATTTTAATTAACATAATTAATCCCAACAACTCCACTGATTTTCATATGCCCACGTCATTCTTGGTTAATTTGACTACACATCAATGAGTTGATCAATCAATTTAGCTTTAGGTCTACAAGCAACTACCTAACCTCAAAAACCCAAGCACACATTTTGGACAAGAATTCTAGTCCTACAATTTATTTAGTGTCAATTATTCCTCTTTGTGCTATTTCATTAAGAAAAATGTTGTGTCTAAATTGAGCTGGCACAGCTACGTGCAAAGCAAACTATCAATCTTTTATGCGACTGATTGTGAATTATGAATGTGTCGATTCATATCAAGAAATACCTTTAGTAGGCCCAACAAGTCGGTCTCTGAGCTAGTTTATGAAAATTTGAAGCTTGAGAAATATTATATAAGAAAAACGGGTAAGAGATGATTAGCGCATTTTATCAAGTAAACTACCAAAAGATAGATTATATAACATGACCCATTCTGCTACACGCATCGAAGCAGATGACAAGTACTATTGTATTTCTAGATAGCTTATTTTACTAAATGAGATAACTATTCATGCCATTGTTCACGAGGATTATCAATTTAAAAATCATGATTAATGAAAATCTGTGGAAAGAAAGATTGACCACGTACCTTCATCCCACAAGGGCAATGCCAACTTGCAAGAACCAACCGGCAAAACCACCTTCTCCTCCAACCTCCTCCCCTCCACCTCGAACATCCACCACCTCCCCTCCCTCCCCACCACATCATCACACCTAAACACCTCCATCATCGGCCGGCACTCGCTTTCCACCAACACCCTAACCCTCCCATTCCCATCCCTCCTCCCTCTTCTCGCCGCCATGTTCATCGCAATCAAGTGCACCTGCAATCTAAACACGTCGCGAGCCCACCCCTCCTCTGGCTTCCTGCATGGGACCCTTGCCGCGACCACGTCCGCCTCCTCATAGGCTGAGAAGTCCGGCATTGGGATCTCGGGGCAGGAGGTCCCCTCTTTCTCTCCTTCTTCATCGATCCATTCGGGGAAAAGGTGTTTCCATTTGAAGTAAGGGGATACTTTGTTGAACTCTACGACTGTGGTTTGCCCCATTGAATCCCAGTCGACCGTTGAATTGTGTGCGAAGTTTATTAGCGCGATCTTTGTATGTCCTTGTAGTGGTTTGAGGATTTTTGGGATTTCTTCTTTTGTAGTACTTCTCTTTTTCTGAACTTGACCGAGTGCTGTTTCCCCCACCACTTTGGCTTCAACCTGCAGGTTGTTTTTGCTAAAACATAATTTTATATAAACCAGACATTAATGATTTGGAAATTATATATAATTTCTTTGAACTTAATTTTAAAGTGATGAACTGTGGATAGACTCGCGGTACTTCTATTGTTGTAGATAAACCCCTAGTTCTCAATCTATATATAATTACTTTTTCCATTCATATAATGATCATCACGCAATTAATATGATTCCTAATCGTACCGTGAAACTAACGAAGTTGAGAAACTAGGGGATTCATCTGCAACAGTAGAAGTACATGGTGTTTATCCTGACAATAATAAAGAGGGTCTATATATCCACAATTATTCCTTCTAAATTTTGAATAATTTATATTTTCATTTCGAGAGAGACAAAAAAAAAAAGAACTAATTAACTCTGAAGCAGTACTCACCTTACCTTCTTCATCATAAGACAAGCATGCAATGAGCACTGGGCAGTAGGAGTGACATTCGGATCAAATACAGACGGAGGTTGAAGAAGAAGGCCGACGTAGATTATGAGAAAGAAAGCGAGGAATATGAGATTGATCTTGATCACCAAAGCTTTTGATGCAGCCGTCTTCATCATTTCCCCCAAGCCCATTTCTTGCAGAGCTATAGGAGATCGAGGAGTTGTAGGTGTATGTATATATATATAGATAGATAGACAGAGGTCACCGCGTACTTTGGCTTAGTTTCCTTCCAAGCAAGTGGTTATGAAAATATTCATACCGTGATGAGATAGTAATTAAGCCAATAATGTCTAACCAAATTAATTTTTTTTTAATTTTTTTTGGGCTTGTAGTGGTTAGGGTGTTAGAAGAGAAAAATGAGTAAGATACAAGAGTGGCCACTGAGATTTGTCCATCTGTTTATTTCCTTGTCGAGGGTTTATCTTTGGACGGGGACAAAATGGGTCGGTGTATAATACAAGCGGGGTGTTATATGGCTGGTAGCTAGTCGGATTTGTTTCACTTAATAAAAAAAAGAAAAAGAAAAAGAAAATCCACATTTGAAATGGCATCTACATTTGAAAAGACACCATTTGGATTTGAAAATTAATTTTAATTAAACCCTGAAAAGTCTTTATAAGATATTTGGAAAAACAATTTTTCAAAAACACGTACCTCTTCATAATAACGTCCGTTGGAAGAAACCCTTCATGCATTCGTTCTATAAATTCTTGGTTTCAAGACATTTTCACATTTGAGAAAACACCATTTGAATTTCAAAACGAAGTTTTAATTAAAATTTGAAATGTCTTTGTTAGATATTTGAAAAAAAAACACCAAATATCCGTTTGAAGAACTCTTTCTATTTGATTTGAGATGCAAGGGCTTTTGGGGGGAGGGATTGTGTGTGTCGTGGAGTGTGTTGTGGATAGGCTTGCTACTATTTTTTGCTAAAAACATAAAATATACAGTGGAAAGGATTAAAAGTAAAAGTAATCAATGATAATCAAACACAAAAAGTAACCAATCAGGAACAAACAAGATTTTATGTTGGTTGTGATAACAATCTTACATCCATTCTTCCTTCTTGTGAAAGAGCTTCATCACTATGCAAAGAGTTCTCCTGAATCACAAACTTGATTTAGTAAACGTACAAGACTGCAACTTATATTCTATCCAAAACCAGTCGTCTAACCTAACTCTTCACAATGAGTAACACCTATCAGTAACTAGTTCTAACCCTCAATTAATCTAGTTTGAGTACACTATAAAACGAGTTCAAAGCAAAACCAACACAAATAGTTAAAACTTAGAAAATCATGAAAGATCTTACAACACTTTTGTTAAACAAATTGTCCTTTGATGAATATAAGTATAACTAGATAAAGAATGGTGTAAAGAATCAATGCAAGGGCAACTCTCCTCGTTGAAATAATTCAAAGATATTGTGCATGATGACTATGAGTTTTTCGAGATCCGGGGGTCAAATCCTTCAATGAAATATCTATTAATCAAAACCCTAGAACTCTCTCTCTCTCTCTCTCTCTCTCTCTCTCTCTCTCTCTCTCTCTCTCTCTCTCTCAATGATATAAACTCCTCAATATGTTAGGTGTAAACCATGCATAAAAAATTTTTGTTTAGAGATTGCCTTTCCCGGATCTTTTAGAAGGATCACCACACATCTACTCTTTATCTTCGGACAACGGTTGGAGAGCAACCACACCAATACGGTGAGAAGTCCTCGTATATCATCTCACGACTACTGCATAAAGCACAAACTTGATCGGAGAAGGAGATGACATATTTATGAAGGCTTATGGTCTTTTATCTAACCCACCAATCATGAAAACTCTATATCTAGTCATTTTACTATTTTATTGCCTATCAAAATTAAGCATACGATCCAGCCATTGGGTTGTTAACTAACAATGAGGGCGATGACATCCTGCCAAAATAGTAGACACATGTGATAAATAAGAGAATATAAAGGCCTTAGAGATAGAATCCTACAATCATTAGGATTATAAATATCTTATCTCTAAGATAAGACATTATCAACTACTTATTTGGATGTTTATCTCATAAATAAACAACATACTCCCACTCACACAAATGAGTGGGTGCAATCCATTGCTCCCTGAGCTGACTCACTGATCATTGACTTCTTGAGTTAATCTCCCCAAGAATCTCCTTCATTTCAAATCTATGTCCATACATCCTTAGTGCGACGTGGACCGTTGAGAACCTGCAAGTGAATAGCCTTGTAGCCAAATCCATTAAAATCGATAAAAGGGTCTCCCTAAAGAAGCACACATGAACTATACATTCGATCCCTCAAAGAAAAGTGTAAGTATGTAGTCTTTATCACCCCAGATCTGATCAACTATACATCCGATCCCTCAAAGAAGCATACATGAACACCTGGTCTGTCCTCGATTCACCGTACTCTTAAAACCTTGCCCCTAGCGCAAATAAGAGTTGCCCATGCGATGCAATCAAGAGACATGTCAATCCATCTTCCTTTAGCCTTGAATAGTTGAGCGTGTTAATCACTTGCTTTCTTAACATTGCCCTGCATGTGTGGTTTTGTCTCATCGTAGCAAGAAACAACATCCAAAGTAGCAGACGCTCGCAACAGCCTTCCCAAATAGCCCAATGTCTCTAAGGGTATAGTGACTATCCTCCATCACTGATTGTCATCTATAAGGTCTCACACAATGAGAGAGTAGGGATCCATCCCTCGACCTCCTTATATCCGGTGCAAGCACATATTGTATGGCAATGTGGTATAATATTTCTTCTCTCTCTCTCCCTGTGAACATACGCCAATAAAATAAATACCATACAGACCTAAGATTCATTACCTAATAATGAACTTTTTTCATTATATCACCCAACGATATGCATCGGATCTTTTGATAAGCTCACGTCTCGGGCGCCAAATCAAACCCTAGTTTGGTTGATGGTAAATAGGTAAAGTGGACGTGGGATTTTCACTTCGGTCGCTTCAACATATAAGTATATAGCAACCTCATCCTGACCTAGTCAAGGAGAATAACAGAGTGCTCCTACTATATTTATACCCAGTAACATGATAGTGTATTCATTGCTCCAAGCCAAATGACATTCAACACTCGGTGTTAAATTCGACAACTCCCACAGCTCCAAGGAGGATCTCTTGTGTGATAAGAGATCTTACCTGTTGATGTAACTTTCTAATGGTGCACTCAGTGTCCTTTGTGTACCCTATACATATCATAATACTCATATACTCCATGCTGTGATAATCAAATAGTAATAAAACATAAGAAATCCCAGATATGCATATAGATGAGAAAAAACAATATGATGTCTTATAAAGCCGTCATTCATAATAGTCTAACTGTCTGAGGTCTTCAAGTAAAAATCATTATTAAAGACGTAGCCTTAAAGGCTCAAATGTGCAGCACTAACTGCACCTTAGCTATTCCTTTTATCAGTAAATCCCGATCAACTGACTCATAGAGGTACACTTAGCAAAACCTGATCCTTCTCTTAATGCTCAATAAAGTTGTACTGAATTTGGATTCTATTTGATTTCCTACACTAATTTGGGCATATAGTATAACTAGTAGGTGACATGCTATCATGATAGAGAATCACATCATCCTCTACATGTCGTGCTATATAAAAATTCTCTAAGAATTTACTCAACTAGACTGCATCCAATGTATATAGCACCACATATTCCACTCCAAGTGGAAAAGGGCTATATACTACTACTTCTTACTACTCTAAGAAATGACCCCAATATTTAGTAAAAACGCATAACTAGACTTAACAAACACCCATCCAGGTTGTTAGCCAAGTTGATATCTAAATATCACTATTGGTGAGAGTCCCTATTCTCATAGCATAATACATAAAGTGCAATCTGAATTAAATATATGAGGATCCTTTTGACTCATTCTAATGAGTCATACTAGGATTGGACCAACACCTACTCATCAATCCTACTACAAAGGATGTGTTAATCATTATACACATACAAGACTATCGAGTGCATTTCTTAAATGGATGTTTAAAATTAGCTTCCTATTTGCTTTCATGTTGGGATATTACTCTATACTTAGAGCATGACTCTTAGCAATTGGAGTTCTACTGGTCTCCATATTGTACCCAGTCAGCAATTTATCCTTGATATATGATGATAGAATCTCAAACTTCTATCAGATTGGTATATATGGACCTAACCATCTAGATTGATCATCTAAAAATTATGACTTAGCACGATCAAAGAGGATCAAAAGCACTACACACTGAAAAATATATTTCAAGCCACATGTAGAATCCTTTAACTTGTACACATTGTGCTCAAGTCCCATGGCAATGAAACATAGGTCAATCCACATAGATCACCTTTTTAGTTCTGTATAGGTAAAAGCTGCCTCAAGGTCCATCTAGACTAGTTCAAGATCTATTTATGCTACAAGAATCAATATCATGCGAATAGAGCCAAATCTCATCATAGGAGAAAATGTCTCTTTTAGTAGTCTACCTTACTACTTAGGTGTACTATTTCTCCATCAAGCATTCCCTGCATCACTTGAACATCTCATTTTGCTTGACCTTGAAAGCTATTTGTTTTCAGTGGTCTTACATCCAATTAGAAGATTCACCAAGTCGTAGTCTTTATTCTTCCTCATGAACTCAAGATCCCCATCTATTGATGTTTTCCACTCTTTACAATAGAGCCAGAAATAGTGTTCTCACATGACAACGTGTAGTACTATTGTGAATATTTTCTATAGATTTTAGATATATTTTGGGTACTTTTTCATGGAACGATCTTCGAGGCAATTAAGATTCCATAGATGGCTAGCTCCAAGTCATCTAAAAATATCTCGCTCCCGTTATCCACCGGCTAGTAGATGGACCAATGCCTCCTCCATTGTTGGTTTTATGATAGTCTACTCGGTCTCATATGAGCCCAATCTCGACCTATTTCTCCTTTGTGCATGAAATCCTCCCCGAGGAACTCAATATACTACAACTCATTTGGTTACAGTCTTATCATGTTTCTCACATGTAAACACAATAGAGAGAGCATCAAAAATAATGCATGAAAATACAATCCAACATTCTAGGGTCCAATCTTCTCATCCAGTGAAAATAGTGTATGAAAACAACATTCCCTCATGAACACAGTGATTGAACACTAG